CGGCCAACCTGGCTACTGCATTCTGTAAGATTCAGCCATTGATGCTTCTCAGGTCATTGTTAGAAAGCTCTGATGAGCTTCTGCTCCCCAGGGGGACTCAGGCACTGTGAGGGAATTATCCCAAAATGAGAAAAGGGGAGTGCGGAAGGCCAGTGAATTTTTTAAGAAACTGGCAGCCCAGCAGACATTTTGGCGCCAGCAGGACACCAGCAGAACTGAAGGTCTTTGTACCAGGAATAAAACAGTGCTTCTTCCTTAAAGGAAGGAGCCCTGGCACTTGGAAGACGGTTAGTAAGACCTGGGTAGGGAGGATTGGTGGAAGGGCCTACAGACTGGAGGGGAGAGAGTTGCTGTGGGTGTAATGGGGGAGGGGAGGAAATCAGAGTTCTCCAGGGTGAAAACAAGGATGTAAGGGTCAGAAGGGGCACAAAAGTGTCCTCTGCCGGTGGAATATAAATTCCAGTGTTCTTTAAGGAATCATTGAAAGGGTTGCCTTCTGCCCCAGGGTAGGTGGGGACCCAAAGAAAAACCGGCTCTGGGAAGTCGCTGGATTCCTGGGGGTAAATCTCTGAATATTTCTGGACTGCAGAATTGATGGGTTGAAGACAACTACACTTAGATCTTAAAGAAAACATCCGCATCTGACACCTGGGCTACATACACATTTATAACCTAGTGTGCGCATGAATATCTGTCCTTCAGACTTGCCCCGGGCCAGATTTCCCAAGCAACTGTGGATTCTGTTTTCACGTCCCAGGGATACGGAACAGGAAGGATGCTGCCAGAGAGAGTTCTGGAGTAGCGGTGAGGAAGACCGGGACCAGGTCCCGTCATGGCCAGTGGCCAGGGCGCGGGGCTCCGCCAGTAGTGGGCATCTGTGCGTCGAGGGCGAGGCTGGCGGCGCTGTCAGCGGTGGGTGGCGCCGGGCTAGCCGCGCTCCAGGACAGCTGGCTGCTCAGCAGCGGCGCTGAGAGCGGTGACACGTTCTGCAAATAACAGCTGCGGAGCAGTCTTTCTGTTTGGACAACGTGGGAAGGGCCATTGTTCACAAATTGGTCCCTTCAATAACACCTGCATGCACAGTTAATAATCCATTGTCGGTCTCCCCGGGCTTTCAAAGACAAAAGACAGCCGCGGAGGGAGGAGCGAGCGGTGAATAGAGAAGGCAGAGCAACTTGGGAAGCGAGCAGGGTGCAAGTGAGGACTCCAGGTTCCGTTACTGGATCCACTGGTGGTACTTCACCACGGGATTCACTTCCATTTGTTTCTACCGTTTTTATCCTTGCAGGCCAGCAGCATCGCAGCAGGGAGGATCATTTCCTATGCAGTTGCTACGCTCACTTCCTTGCAAATCAGCGGTCAATACTGCTAAAGTGGCCCCAGGATAGGAAAGGTCACACGTGTGTATGTAAATCGAAAGGTTTATGAGGCACAGGTGGCTCTTACTCCGTGGAGATTGCAGGATTAGCATGTCAAAGCCAAAATGGAACCGAGGTATCTGAGCAAAGCCTGAGGCTTCCCCCCCCGCCCCCCCCCCCCCAGACTCTTAGCAGATCCTCTTGATCTTTCTGTTTCAAAATGTTAAGGAGATCCCAGATATGGCCACCGCATTGCTCAACCTGGCACCTTCTATTTGCACACCTTACAGATAAAGATTGGTATTCGTCCTTGCATTCTCCCACTTGAGCCCCATCACAGCAGCTTGAAGTCTGCACCAACACAAGCCCCACCTTAGCCAAAGAGGAGCCAAGGGACCCAGTGGAACTTGGATCCTGAGTCTGCTCCACACCTGATGTTCTGTTCAAGCTACTTGGTACAGCTACAGTACTGTGGGGTTATTAACATTTTATTTTATTTTTACCTTTTTCAACCTTTACAAGGCAGTGACTATGAGGCCCAAGATTAGGTAATAGGCCATAGAGACATAGGAACACCTGCAACCCTCACACTACCCTGCCTAAATTGGTGTTATTGGTCACATGGGGTGATTTATATTTTACTTAATTAAAATTCAATTACTTCATTAGTTGTATGCCTGCCACACCTCAAGTGCTGAATAGCCACTTCTGTCTCTTGTCTACCATATTTGATAGAGCAGAAAGCTCTACTGTACAGCCCTGTATCCACAGACTAACAATTTAGTGAAGATTTAGAAAATTTCACTTTTCTGTTCTATTTGTGACTGAAGTTCAGTTGCTTCTTAGGCATATATACCTCTTGCTTTCTACAAGGTAGTCTGGGTTTCAGTTTTATTGGTGTAAAACAATATGCATGAATGCATTCATTCTGATACATGACTCAGTGAGTTTTGGCCAATGTAACCTTATAACCATCTGTATTAGTTACTACTTTTCTGTTGCTGTAATAAAACACCATGACCAAGGCAATTTATAGAATGAAGAGTTTATTTAGCTTACAATTCCAGAAAGATAAGAGTCCATCATGGTGGGGAGGCATGGCAGAAGGAGACAGCTGGAGCAGAAAGCTGAGAGCTCACATCTTCAAACAGGCACAGGAAGCAGAGAGGAACAGAGTGAAAATGAGATGTGCTTATCTACTCTCAAAGCCCATCCCCAGTGACATGCTTCCTCAAGCATGGTCACACCTCCTAAAGGTTCTATGACCCTCCCCAAACAATCCACCAAATGCGGATCAAGTGTTCAAATACTTGGAGCCTATGGGGGACATACTCACTCAAACCACCGCATCACTGCTGTAATCAAGACACAGAATACTTATGTTTCATTTAATGTTGTAATTCTTTTGCCTTTTATTACTTCTCTCTTGTTCAAGGCAAGCACTGATCTACTTTGTGCCATTTTGTATTGAATTTGAAGTTTCTAGAACTTTATGTGAATGGAATCATACTCTTGTCTGGCCCTGTTTTCCTCAGAACCTTTGTTTTTGAGCTCGGTCCATTGCATGCTATCAGTGGTTAGTTCTTTTTTATTGGTGAGTGCTGATTCTTTTGAGTGGCTATATTTCAATTTGTTTATCCATCCACCTGTTGATGGACATTTGGGTGGTTTCCAGTTCTGGCTGTTATGAATAAAGCTGTTATGAACATTTGCATACCAGTCTTTGTGAGGACATGTTTCCATTTCCTTTAAAGTGGACTTGCTGGCTCATATGGTAAGTGTACATTTAACTTTATTAGAAACTGCTAAAGTGTTTCCAAAGTGTCTATGACATTTTGTATCCTGTTTAGCAAGGTTGCAGGCTACAAGATCAACATATAACAATTAATTCTATGTCTACATGATAGATATGAACAATTAGAAATGGAACTTTACAAAGTACTGTTTATTTTCGGGGAAAGGGGAGACATTTTTGTCATTGTTGTAGACACTGTTAAGTTCCTTGTCCTCTGGTACCTAATCCCCCACCCATGCTCATGTAAGCAACCTTTATTAAACACATTGGAACACACACACAGATTTAAAAGTAGCAGGGTGACTGTTTGGAAGAGGTGGGAATTGCAGGAGTGGGAGGGGTTCAAGAGAGGATAATGTGGGGTGATTATGATCCAAATACATTATATATATATGAAAATATATAACAAAACCTATTACTATACATAACTAATATATACTAATAAAGTTTTTTAAACACCATTTATAACAGCATAAAATATGAAATGTATGCAGTTAAATTTAGCAAATTGAATGTATGACCTGAACACTGAAAACTACAAAATACTGCTAGAGAAAATTTTAAACTTAAATACATACTATACTCATAGGCTACAGAAATGTGACATTATGAGAATATTTCTTCTCAGAAACCATTTTTGGGAGAAACTGACAATCTGATTCTAAATTTTATATGGGCATCCAAGAATCTAGAATAGTCTGAACTTCCTGAGTAGGAGAATGAAGTTAAAAGAATTACATGACTTCATCTCAGGACATAAAGCTATGATAATTAAGATGGTATGATTCTGGTATAAAGAGTCTAAATAGAAGGTACTGGAGAAAGCTGGAGAAGAGAAAGATTTAAGGCTGCGTGGGAGAAAGTCAAAAGAGTAGCTTTGGTCTGCTAAGGAAGAATTTGTGGGGGCAATAATAGAAAGATCTCATGGGAATTTTCACTAATTAGTTTGCTGTTTCTGGTATGTGACATAATTCTTTCTTGAGTGACAATCCTAAATTTTCAGTGAAAACTTCTATAGTTCAGAAGATGCTTGGGTTAAGTCAGATTTTTATAGATCTCCATAGACAGTAGAACCAAGTAGATTCAGATGAACAAGGGTAGTTGAGGGGCAGGGGACATCAAGAGGACAGTTAACAGTTCAGAAGTAATTTAGAGTATGGGGAAGTCAGTGCCTGAAATAAGATTAGACATTTTACTAAAGTGTGGGACAGCTTTTGAATGTTTCAAGTGAGGTTTAGATTCTGCTTAGCCAAATTCTCTATGTCCAGGTAAAGATTTTTTCCTATATAAAGGGGAATTTCTGAATCTAGGCATGGTATATTATACAACCCCAGGAGGCTGTTTCATGTTTTCTTGTTCTCTGAATTCTTGCTGAGCGCTGGTCTCTGGAGTTGTGCAAGCCATTTGGCAGCCCTTATTAAGTCTGAAAGCTAGCACCAAGAAAAAGCGGAATATAAAGCTTGCCATAATAATCTCCAAGATAATATGCTACCTCTTTTAAGTTCCTTATCTGTGTGTGTCCCTAAATATGCTCCTTACTTTTCAGACTTCTCAGCTAAAAACCTACTAGAAAGAACAGGGAAGGGACACCGTGAATCCATCCATCAGATGGGACTCCCAAGAGGAATTCTCCTTTTGTCCTCTGTCTTCTCTAATGTGGGGGTTGGGTCACAAAAAAGGAGATCTCTTAGTCACAGCCTAGATTAACTGCATGCCCTTTTCAGTCAGTTAAAATCCATTTACATAGTCCTAATTAGTTATTAAGTATTGTCCATACAGAAAGTGAAACAGTCTTACTGATTTCCGTATCCAGCATCCATTTCCCTGCTTTTGGTGTGGTACTGATTTCTTCCCGGGGTATCAGCCTCTCCCTCATGCTGCATAGTGGTGCTGTTCCTGGAATTGAGAGAAATGGGGTGCATGCCACCTGGCCCCAAAGACAACCATGGCCATTATATTCCCTGGCATTCCTGATTGGTTTCAGGTAGGCACATGATTTAAGCTAAGCCAGTCTGAGTGAATCTCCTAACTGTGAGAAAGACTTTCTTCTAATCTGGCTAGAACTTTTCAGTAACTTCTTTATTGTCCTTTAAGTGAGTTTCGGCCTGGTTTTATTTGTTTGTTTGTTTTTGAGGACAGGATCTCATGTAGCCTAGGTTGGCCTTGAACACCCTAGGAAGCTAAGGCTGGCCTTAAACTCCTGATCTTCCTGCCTCTTCTTCTCAAGTGCTAAGATTATGAGCATTCACCATCAAGCTTATTTTATGTCTGGTTTGGTATTATTGTAAAACAAAGTAGCTGGGGGTGAAACACTCAACTTTTTCTCTTCTCTGACCCATTCCAACTCTTGCATTGTTTAAATGGTATAGTTATTGTTTCAATTTCAAGGCAAGTCAATTGCCATGATAAACAACCTCAAAGTCATTCCTCTTCAGCTTTAGTGTCCACTTCATTCATCAGGAGGATGAAGAGGAAGGACAGAGCAGCACATGCAAGAAGTGTTTTATGGCTCACACCCAGTTAGGGAAAACCTTGCTTGTGTTCAAAATCTTTGCTCAGAACTTAGTGTAATACGCCCAACTGCATGGGAGGTGTTTGAGCTGTGGCCCTGAGCGAAAAAAACTACACTCTAGATCCAAGATTGAAAATGGAGTTCCTTTTTATGGATTCCCTTACTTGAGTGACTTTATTCAGCCAGTCATTCCCTTTTTCATTAGCTGTTTCTTTCTTTCTTTTTTTTTTTAAAATAATCTTTAAAGTAATAGAAATAGAGACAGAATATTATTAAGAAAGGGAAAAGGCACTTACAAGTATGGTCAGGGCTAGTGAGCTGGAAAAAAAAGCTAAACGATGCTTTGTCATGTGAGTTCTGATCATTTATAGGTTATTTACATAGCACCCACCTTCTTCTCTGTTTATTTCAGGTTTTTCTTGTGCCTGCTGTTTACTGCATGTAGTCCAGCTGGGGAAGGGTTTCCAGGTTTTTTTTGCCAACTGCTCTCTCTTCTATGTTAATCTAATGTTTCTCTTTCCACATCACAAGTTTCCTGTCTCAACTCCTCAACTCCCAGTACTGTGGTCCCAGAAATCTTTTGGGGGAGCTGCAGAGTAGAGATCAGTCTTCTATAAATTCTTTGCTAATGAGGGGCATAGTCACTGCCTAAGAGGGGCCACAAGACTCTCTCTCTTCTTTGTCTATTGGTTAAAGATGAGGATTTGGATTTCTGTAGTAAGTCTGTTAAAAATAGGTCTAGGGTATCAAGAAAATGACCACACAATCCAAAGTATTTCAGCAAGGCCAAAAGTTTGAATTCTGCAGAAGTGTGCAAAGCTGTTCTGAACCCAGCAAGCAAGCACACCCAGTGGGGGTCCCGCCAGGTTTTTATTTCTAACACAAAGGGGTCCTGTGCCTCATTCTGACTAGTCAGAGCTTTCTCACATTCTTAAACTGTTGCCTAATTCAAAACGGTGTAGCTGATAAGCAAAAATGCAGCTTTAGAGAGCAGGAAGCAACCTTGAACACAACCTTTAATCTTAGAAAAATGATGACTTGGGGAGGGAGTTTTGCCAGATTTCTTTAAAGATGGAACGTTCTTTGTCTCATTTAACACTTTGATAAAAAAAAAAGGCAGTGCATTTCATTTACATTTTCCACAGGACTTGGGGTGGAATTCCTGTATTATAAGGAGGGTAGCTTGAAATTGTCATATATCCTAGAAGACACAAAAATTGTAAGATTAAAGATACAAGGTTTAAGCCAGAGTAACACCATTATGTTGACCATTGAGCCCAGAAATGGCTCATCCTCCTTTATCAAGCCTTCTCTTGGCCACTTTAATCCAGCCAGAGCTGTCTCTTCTCAGCTTCACTCGTTCTGCATTCTCCTCTGCCCGACTCCTCAAGGCCAGTGGCTGCCTGGTCCAGCCTCATATGCCTAGTTGTCTATAGGAATCTCATAAATACATATCCAGAAATGTTTGCTCTGAGGAGACCTGACCTTCCTTCTGCCCCAATTTCAGCATGGCAGCCCTTAGCAAGGACATCTTCAGGAGGCCTTGTGTGTACCTGTCAGCTGCACAGTTGTCTGCCTGCCTTCCCAGCCCATTCATAACTTTCTCAGCTTCCCGGGCCCAGGCCCAGATGGATACTGCATGCTGTAACCCTGAACATGCATTTCATGAAGTGTCTTTCTGGCTTCTTTCTTGTCTCTGCCTCTCCAAATATCATCTTCTAGGTCTACCTACATCCAACTTCCTCTGGACAGTCTCCCCATTCTCCTCTGCTCTCCCTGGCCACCCTTTCCTTTGGAATCTGGCAATCTGTGTTGCAGGTAACTATGGTGGCCCTTAGTCCTAGCTTTTCCGAGAAAGCCCTGTGTGCAAATGATGCGTCCTCTTGCTGGGCACATTGGACCAAGGGCCTTGTGTGAAGAAGAGACCATGAAGAAACTGCTGTGACTTCAGGAATGTGGGCAGAACTAAGTCCTTCAAGACCACACCTCTTGTGGTAGAATCTTCCTGCAGATATTTGAGGAATGGAGTTTTTAAATGATTCAAGTCCAGTCTCTTTAGGATGAGTAAGCTGAGGCACCCAGAGACGCTGACTGACTGAAGATGATAGCTGCTTAATGACAGAAAATCAGAGAACATGGCCATTACTTTTAGGGCTGGTATCCTTTCCTACCATCTGCCTCCTCTATCTTCTATTTTGCTTTGGACTCTAGCACACTTGTGCAAGAGGTAATAACTCTACAGAGCAACAACTGCCTGGTGGCCTTCTCCATGGTTCAGAATTATATAACAGTGAAGGCGCCACTCAGACTTGCCGATTTGAATTCAACTTCATATTGGAGAGTTTGAAATTTCATGAAATTAGCCAGGATGAACTCATTAGATGTTCAAACAGACAAAGGTAAGATGGGAACACAGGAATGAAAGTAATCTTATTTGACAGCAAAAGGACTATGGGTGAATCTCTCTCTCTCTCTCTCTCTCTCTCTCTCTGTCTCTCTGTGCCAGATGAGAGGATGACTACAATGAAATTATTTTGAGTCCAAATGTCTTGCAGTCTTGCATGCTACTTCTAAAAAAAGATATATTTATGTGCGTGTTTGTGCCTGTAGGCAGATAGATGCCTGTGAGCAGAGGTCAGAAGAGGGCATTATATCCCCTGGAACTGTATAGGCAATTATGAGCTGCCTGATCTGGGTGCCGAGGTCTGAACTTTGGTCCTTTGCAAGAGCCAAAAAAAAAAAAAGCTCTTAATGGCTGAGCCATCTCTCTAGTCCCCTTGTATGCTACTTTTAATGTAACTGAGAAAAGCCCTTTTCTTCTTATTCTAATTTCAAAGTTTACTAATTCTAACACTTTATCTTCTTTAAAGTTCCCCTGTTATCTTTCTCTTTTTCATTCCAAACCACCTCAGGTATTTGAGTCTCATTTGTATTAGGTGTTTGTTATTGACTGTGTCAGTGAGATGAAACCTGTGGTTTTTAACATGGTGGAGCTTTGCAGACTGGACTTTGCCTGAAGGGTTCACACACACACACACACACACACACACACACACACACACACACACACACGCACATACACACAGAGTGCAAGTCGATAGGCAGCATGAATAAATCCCTTTAGGTAAGATGACTCAGATCTTAAAGGTAGACAGTTCTTCAATTATGTTCAAATATGATATAAATCAATTTTTCAAAAGAGACTGTCTCCAAAGATAGAGAACAAAGGCAAGGAGGCTGTGTGAAGAGAGGCTGGAGAGGGATGGGGGCGGCACAGCAGGTGGCTGGGAGAGGCAGTGTGAAGGCAGGGGCTGGGAAGACGAGCATTTTGCAGAGGCGATATGAAGGCGGGGGGCGGGGGGCGGGGGGCATGAAGATGTGGGTATTTTGGCGCTGATACTTTTTGGCAGAGAGGATTCTGTGTCTTTTCTGCACTGGAATTTGGGACAGAGACCTGGCATTTGTGTGTGTGTGTGTGTGATATTGGTCTGATGGGTTTGCTTTCAACACCTGAGGGGAAGATCTGAAGGGCTTTTGTAAGGGAAGCTTGCCAGATCACAATCTAGTGCAAAGAATAGGAAAAACAGGCTGCTTTCAAAATTACTAAATCACTAGGAAATTGAGAAGTTTTCTAAGTACTCCTGATAGGCTCTGTTTGGAATTTGCTGTGTAAACCTGGGTAGAGACCTGGGTTGATCAGTTTGTGCTCTGCACAGAGGCCCAGGCTAAGGTAGCAACCAGGAATGCAATCCAGTCTGACTCTATATACTGGGCTCTGTGCTGGCATGTGCTGTCTAGCTTGAGGCTCTTTTCCCCAGTTTACCTAAAGTTGCCTCACTAAGCCAAATGTGCCCTTTTCTAGTTTGCATAAACACACTAAGCAAGTTCATACTTGCCTAGAAAAGGGAAGGGAGGCAGAAGAGTGTCCCTAAACCAATGATGGGCCAAACTACTAAGACCAACATAGCCTGTTTCAAATGTTTAACTGACCAGTCAGGTGTTTCTCCTTGGGAATCTGAATCTAAATACTGAAATAAGTTTAGCTGGTAGCAGGTGAAAAGGCAAAAGAGGGCCTGAGCCAGACAAGTCATGGATGTATCTAAGTTAGATGCCAACAAAGCTGTGAGTTCACCGTATAAACACCATAGGAAGTTTACAAAGCCCAGGATCAGGGTAGCAATGTAGTCAAGCAAGGCTTTGTGAAAGAGCTAGACCCTTAAGGCAGAGGAAATGTAGAAAGGGAGGTAGGCCAGGCCAGAGACTGGACAGAGTCAACTGCACTGGGCCATGCAGAGGAAAAGGCTGATTGAGAGCCACCATTTGGGACTGTATGAGAGCACTGCAGGCACAAGAGGCCCCTCACACTTTTACTAACTGCCAGTATATCGCCTCCTTCCTCTCCGCAAGTCAGCGCTTAGATTCATCTTAACCCCAAACTCGAGAAAGACAAAGAATGACTACTAAAGAAATCA